CCTGCTGGCCTGCTCACCCCCAACTGATCCCCCCACACCAGCCTACTTGCCCGCAACTGCCCACCCCTCCTGGCCTGATCGCCCCTAACCACCTCTGCCTTGGCCCCACCACCATGGCTTTGTCTGGAAGGACATCCGGAAGGTCTCCTGGAAGGTCTCCCGTTCTAATTAGCATATTACCCTTTTATTAGTATAGATACTGTAAGTCACTAAATAATATACATTAAACCAGGAAAAGAAATGAAAACTACAATTTTTTTTTATTTTGAAGCAAATCTAAATTTACTTAATAGGCAGAGATTTAAATTCTAAATCACATATCTGAAAACAAAGACCAAGATGAGAGTCTAGTGTCCTACCTCATTCAGCTAAATCTTCCTCAAATAATGTGTCACTGTCATTAAAAATGAGAGTATGAAAAGGAAATAGGAGTTCTGAAAGATCAAGGTCCATTGCTTTTCAGAAGCAGCATATCAAAGCTGGGTATGTTTGTGCCATGTCCATTGATACATTTGATTACCTAGAACCTTACATATAGATTCTTACTTATAGGATGACCTCACCCTCAAAAAGTGATGAATGGAGGTATAACTCCAGACTAGGTGCAGGAGAGCTGAGCTGTCACTTACCACATTGAGGTGTTTGGGTAAGACTTTTACCTTCTCTCTGTATAAGCTTCCTCTGAAGTGAGAAGATTGGATATAATTCTAAAATCACAAAATAATATTTGAGAGTTGACCACTTGGTTCTTTTTAAAATAGATTAAAGAGAAAAATACTATTACCTAATTATTTTGGTCTATATATTTTACACACAAATAATAATTAAGTAATAAAATCTTAGGAGAGTATTAAACATCTAAAACATGGCATGAGGAATATCTCAGAGAAACTTTAACTATGCAAGTATCTAAATGCCTCGGGGCCTTGATGCCCCATTGTCAAAGCAATGATTAAATTAAACTATTAGCCATACAACTAGAATAGAACTTGAGTAGTTGTTTCTTACATCCAGCTCAAAAATATGCCAAATTTGTATTTATAAACAATCTTCATTAAGCCTGACAGGCACTGTTGATCTGAGTTAAATCTCTAATTCTAGCCATCCAAGGCCTCTGTCCTCTCTCTCTTCATTTCATATTGTTTTCATGATGCTATAAATTAAAATTCTTATTTGTTATGCGTTTGGTGTACCACTGCTCTTCCTGCTCATCTGTGCTTATAAGATACCACTCTGCTTGTATAAGTGTTCATGAGCCCTCAATTTTGAACAGCTGTGCGGAAGGCTGGTTAACTATTTGTAAACACCACCCAGCCATCCTTGACAGCAATAGCAGTCTTACAGAATACTGAAGTGTTATTTTATTGGGAGTGATAATGAGACTGTCTTGTCCAGAGGTCTGGTTATTTACTACACCAATACTGAACTTTATCATTTAGTTGTGTGGTGTAAAATTATTAGTCACATTTTTTAGGAGGCTGTATTCAAAGTGGGAGAAAATTGTATAACCTTTATTGAAATAATTCAAACTTATACTATTCTTGAGTTTTCTAACTACCTGCTTTGATTAGCTTTGAAAACAAATACAGAATTTTATATTATAAAAAATGGCATATTTGTGGTAGGTAAAGTTTTTTTTTTTGTTTTTTTTTTTTTTTTTTTTTTTTTTTTTTTCAGCATCCAAAACCTCTTTTAATAACATGATAGGATTTAGGATTAGTTTTTGTAGCCGCGGCTGGCCCGGCGGCCTCTTGCACGCTCGAACTTTCGGCCCTTGGATCGCACGTAGGGTTTGGTGTGGCTGTGGGGGGTTCCTGGGGCCTTGCCGAAATGCCTGTACACCTCGCGGGCCTTGCGAGGACCAGAAAGCAAGACGGTGCCACAGCCCTTGGGGGAGTCCAGGGCCAGCTGGTCGAAGGTGAGAATCTTGCCCCCAGCCTTGAGGATGCGGCTCCGGGCGCGGCTGCTCACACGAAGGGCACACACCTTCAGTTTGGGCACCTCCTGGATCCTCACGTCATCGGTTATAGTCCCTACAACCACGGCGGTTTTGCCCTCCCGGCCAGGAAGCTTCATCTTGCGGATCATCCGGGAAAGGGACAGAGGCGGCCGGTTGGTGCGACTCATGAATAACCTCTTCAGCACCACTTGGTTGAAGGTGGAGTTGGTTCTTATGAGTAAAATGATATTTAGTTATATGAATACATGCTATATATATTATAGTTTATAATGTACAATATATAATATATATTATTATGTATAAGTATATTATTATAAAGATACATATACTTTTCCTATATGGTCTTTGAGCTTAGAAATAGCAATTGCTTTTATTGTATCAGTTACAGGTTTGATGTGAGGAGACACTCTTAATAATGGGAGTTCTTTAATAGAGATAATCACTAATAAAAAGGACTTGGCACCCATTAGGATATCAGTAAGTCATTGTTGAGTAAATGCATAAACATGAAGACTTTCACTTTTTTCAAGAGCATGAGCTTATTAAGTTGCAAAGATGCAAATAAAATCCATGCTATCTCATTGTAATTCAAAGTCTGTGCTGCTCCCATCTTTATGCATGTAGTTGTTTATATCAAAATCTTTATTTCAGTCAAATTATTTTGTATAGTTCTTAATATACTCTGTGCACAATTTTCATGAAGTATGCACAATGCTGACATATTTATGTGAATGAGATGTATCTTTTATTTTATTCTTGAACTGGTTATGGTAGTAATGGTAGGAATAAAAATAATGTCACTTAGACTAGACTCTCTAATTTATTAAAAACCTTTTTTGAGTGTCTACTGTGAGTGCAAGGAACAGTGCTAGGCATTGGAATACGTGGTGAGAAATACAGAGACTCTGTCTTCAAGAAGCTTTTAGTCTAGATGGGTCGATAGCCTGTCTTGAAGAACAGAATGGAAGAATCCTACTTGAAACTGTTAGGATACCATTGTGTCTCATGGCACTCTTGCTTTTTTAAACCTCTTGCTAGCAGAGGCACTGGCTGCCTTTGTTCTCAACTGTCTTTTCACCAGTGTTTATACAGTGGATAGCCTTGGAAGATAGAAAGTTTCTATCCAAAGCAAAGGGCAGGTTTGCATACAATCTTGGAAAAGATAGTGTCCCCTTGGCAGCAAAAGGCAGATATGCTCACTCGCCATTGCAAAAGCTGGCTTCTCTAAGTTCGGGGTTGCTCTTCTGTAAGGCCACCCACTGCATGTTCAAGTGTCACCTGACTCTCTTGGCATCACCCTGAGGGAGATGGGCTCAGAAAGCCAGGGCAAATACAGAAACTCTGCTCCAGCTATTACCATGAATAATAAAGCTCTTTGTCCCTAACCCAGGAATATCATGTCATTGATTAGCTTGCATGAAACTGTGGTAGGCTAACTTGAAATAAAGTAAAATCTCAGATCCTTCATAATTCTTGACAGAGACATGAAGTCAGCATAGGATATAGCCACACCGCAGCAGGATGGGAGTGGGAATGTCAAAGAGAGCATTGCAAAGGCAGGGCCATCAGATTCATACACGTGGTTTACTCAGTATTGCAGAAGCAAACTTGGGGTGGTGAATTTTAACTGGATTGACCCAAAATTAAATAGGTGATCATAGCCTAATTTACTGTATGCCCACTATGCTCCAAGCACTTTTCTCTGAACTTTTCATAACTTGTCTTATTTACTTTTCATCAACCTATTACATAGCTATAATAACTATTCCCCTTATATAGATGAGGAAACAAAGGCAGAGAAGGGACAAGTAATTTGTTCAAGTTCTCACAATATGTTAGAGGTAGAATCAAGATTCAAACTCAAACTGGGTGACTCCAGAGGCCATGGCTCTCACCACTGGACCATAAACCTCCAGATGGTCTTGGACTGAGGCTGTATCATGAAGGGCTTTGTAAAGCTCAATGAGTATAGTGAGCTCTATGCCAAAAGGCAGGGAGATGACCAGATTAGTAGCATGATGTATACTCTGGAAAAGGACAAAATCAGAGCAAACCAAAGAGCAGTTGCCGTAGTCTAGGCTAAGGAACATAATGGAAACAAGAGGAAAAGACAAACTGTGATCTATTTTATGAACTTTAAAAACACACACAACTGTGCTACTGAGTACAATGTCTGGTGAAGAGGATGCATTCAAAAACTATATTTCAAATGAATTAATTAATTTGATCATCATCATAAAACTTTTTAAAAATTCTAACAATTTTATACTTAATTTTTGTTTTTCTTTCAAATAGTCATATATCTCATAACTTTGTCTTGCTCTGCATTCTTCTTTCATTTATTTTTAGTTGTTTCTGGCATTGTACTGTGCAGAGTACAAAATAGTCTTCAATATATTTAATAAATATATTCATTTAATGTGTTTATTTATATAAACGTAAAGTTTATTTATATAACCTCTAAGAAATAGGTTAGCAAAAATTTTCTATAAGGGAACAGATAATAGATTTATTAGGCTTTGCAGGCTCTACTGTCTGTTGCAGGAGCTCAAATCTGCCATTGTAGTGAGAAAGCAACCGTAGATAATATGTCAATGAATGGGCAAGCCTGTGTTACAAAATGTTATGTGAGTGCTGAATTATTATGAATTATTATGTAGAGTATTTTGGATATCATTTATCATATACATATTTAGTTTATTAATTTAACAAACACTTACTGAATATATGCAGTACACTAGAAACTGTGTTAGATGTCGAATGCAGTATTGTACAAAATTGTCCCTATGGACTTGATTTGTTTAAATTAAGATGTAATTTAAACAAATCAGTGTTCGTGTGTGTGTGTGTGTGTGTGTGTGTGTGTTTCTAAGTGAATATATTTATATATGTAACTAGTGAGGGGAAATTCCAGTTAAATATTAAGCATTAGAGGCAACTAGCCACAAATGTTTCTTTGTTTAGGTTAAATAATCAGAATGGAAATTTAATGGCAATCAAATCATTTTGATTGGGCCAGTAATAGTATTTTATATCTGGATGTTTGGTGACTTTCTCACTTATCTCTCTATATAAAAGCCCAAGCTACTGTTGAGACTGAGTGAGTGGAACAACCAGACGACAGGTCAGTAGCTATGACGCGCACTGATCCAGACCTTGCTGCTGGGGCCCTGACAGCCCTGAATCTGGTTCACCCACACCCCAGACCCAGACAGGACGGAGGAGGGAGGAGGAGCCCAATTCCTCATGGAATCGGCCATTGGTTAGCTTGCTGCTGGGGCCAACCTCGCATGGTCCCACCCCTCAGCTGGCCGAGAGACCCCACCCATGCACGAATTCATGCACCGGGCCTCTAGTTCACATATAAATATGTTGGTATGTATGATATGTTGCCAAAAATTATCTTGGAAATGTGAACAAAATTAATTAATGATCCAGCTTCCTCTGGAACCAAATATTCTAAAATTCACACTCCTTCCCTCAGAGATAAACATTATTGAAACATGTCTGATGTAATGAAATAGCTCTGATTGAAGTCAGTCAGTAGGTGAGGTAAATGTATCACCCATACCCTGCCAAGGACAATTTACCATGGAGGAGAGCAGAGCCTGGGCAAAGGATCTGGCATCAATAGTAGAGTCCAAGTGACAGTATGAAGCTGGCATCTGTCCAGTCACTACAGCAACATGAATGTAAACTTAATAAAATAGTATATATGTGTGTGTATGTGTGTCTGTGTGTGTACATGTATGTCTGTGAAAATTTATAAGAGATGTGTGTGTCATGAAAAAACGTATGAAACAGTAAGTCCAACTTCTTTGATTGGGTATAATGCAAAACTCCCAGAACTTGAAATATGATGTATTACTATTTTATAAGCAATGTTATTGGTCTTTGTCTATCACCACATGTACAACCACAACTTGGTTGTTGCATTAGACAATTGCACTATTTCAGCTGGCTGGCTTTTTGTCATACTGTGGTTAAGTTGGGGCATTAAAAAACAAACCAAAAAAAAAAAACTGGAGCTTGAATTGAAAATCTTTATTTTTTTTAGGTTTTAGCAGCCATACATGCAGCTATGAGGAAAGCAATGGAACAGAATAATAGGACTTTTTTGAAAGTTCTGACCAGACTTTGTTTTCTCTTCTAAAAAAAATGGCATTTTTAAAGAAAGTCTTTTGGATGGAATAGAGAACCTGAGGTTCTGATTTAACTCAGAATCAAACCTCAGAGAAAATGATCTATTGCAAAAAAAGTGATAGAAAGAGTGATTATAATCATTCAATTAAATTTTGTTATAATTAATTTCAATATAATTAAATAATTTGATTTAATTGATGCATTCAATTACACATGATTAAATTTTATCTAATTATTATTTAATAATTTAAAATTGTGTGACTTAATTTTGCATCACTAACCTTTTAGAGACATATTGTTAAAGAAATTTAATATTGATCTTTGTAATATTTATGCTTTTTTTGTTAGTATGTGTTGGCATTGACATAATCATTCATGGTGGAAATCACTTGACTTTCCTTACTTAATTTTATTTAAACTCAAAATATTGATTCATCCTTAGATTTATAACATAAGCCCTATCTAGTGATAAAAACTTTCTTGAATGAAAATAAAATTTTATTTTAATTAACTCTGTGTTATCACTATACTAGTCAATTCTACTGATTATTTCAATGATTTTGACAAAATATTTTAAGGTCGGCATTCTTTCCTCAATTTTTTTAAGGTAATTCTCAGAAAAGTTAAATAAATTGCCTCAGATTTGACAACTAGTAAGTAAAAAAGTAAACTTTAAAATAAATCCATATGAATTTACTGAACCAAATTTTTTATCCTGTGAAAGTTTATGCTTTCATTAATTATTGAATTACATTTGCATATAGTGTCTTTAATATTTTCCTTTACATCAATAAGTATCATTATTTTATTTTTATTATAATTTTATCAAACTAAAAACTAAAGGCATTTTTAAATGAGAAAATTTGTGAAACTCTATATAAATATGACAGCTTAAATTGAGTATGTATTTTTCTAGAAAAAAATTGATTGTCAAAAATTAAGAATAAATTAAAACCTAAACAAAAAATTAAATTCTTGTAGAAGAAATAGGAAAATAGACAAAAAGAATCCTTCAAAGTGAAGGTAAAGAAGGGTTAAGTTCAAATTATTTCAAAACCTCAACCAATCA